CGCTGACCCCTCTGCGGGTCCGGTCGTCGCGCGCAGTTCTACGTCCCTTCCCTGTCCGGCAGTTCCCTCGGGCTCCCTTACTGGCCTCCACGTTCCCTCGTTCTCCAGGAACCTGGTTGGTGTCGGCTGTCTCCAGGACCTCGGCGTCACCACCACGTTCCCCGGGCACGAGCGGTTCGCTGTCTGTTCTGAGGCTGTCTCAGGTTCCCCCCTTGCGACGTTCCCCCGGGACCCGGTGTCCGGTCTGTTTACCCTACACACCGCTTCCCCCCCGGTTGGTGCGTCCTCCCAGGTCGCTGCAGCTTGCTCGTGTCGGTCCCTCACTCACCCCTCCCTTCTCTGGCACCACCGCTTAGGTCACCCTGCTCTCCCGCGTCTGCGTCACATGTCCCAGCACGGTCTTGTCTTAGGTCTCCCCGCGTCGCTCCCTGCCCTTCCTCCCTCGACTGCGCCACCGTGCACGCCTTGCGTCGAGGGTCGGCTCCGCCGTGCTCCTCACTCCTCCTCGCTGCGTCCTGCTACTGCCCCCCTTCAGACCCTGCACTTGGACGTTTGGGGCCCTGCCCCCGTCCCCGGACCGCGCGGTGAGCGCTACTTCCTTGTGCTTGTCGACGACTACACGCGCTACACCACGGTGTTTCCCCTGGAGCGGAAGGCCGACGTGCCCGACGTTCTTCTCCCGTGGGTTGTGGCTGCGCGTCTCCACCGCGGTCTCCCCGTGTTGTGTCTCCACTCCGACCGTGGCGGCGAGTTCGCCTCTGGTCGGCTTGGACAGTTCTGTCGTGCGGAGGGCATCACCCAGTCGTACACGTTGCCGGACTCGCCACAGCAGAATGGGGTTGCTGAGCGCCGCATCGGCTTGGTCATGGAGGTCGCCCGTACCTCCATGATCCATGCCGATGCCCCCCATTTTCTGTGGCCGTTCGCTGTTCGCTACGCGGCTCACCAGCTTAACCTGTGGCCACGCTCCCAGCGGCCGCAGGTTTCGCCGACCCTCCTTTGGACCGGGTCCCCCGGTGACGCGTCTGCGTTCCACGTCTGGGGCTGCCTTGCTCACGTTCGTGCCTCTGGCACGGACAAGCTCACTGCCCGCACTGTCCCCTGTGTCTTCCTCGGTTTCCCCCTGGACTCGTCTGACTGGCTTTTCTACCACCCGCCGTCTCACCGCTTCCTCCACTCTCGTGACGTCACCTTTGATGAGTCCGTCTCCTTCTACCGCCGCTTCCCTCACCGAGGTCTCCCAGTTGCCCCCCCCCTTTTCCTTGCTCCCTCTCCCCCGGTAGCCCCTGCCCCTCTCCCGCCTCGTCCTGCCCCGTCTGGTGTCTCCCACGTCACTCCCCTCCCGTCGGTTGTCCCCGTTGAGGAGTCTGCTGACTCTGGTGGTACCCCCGGTCCGTCCTTGCCGCGTCCCCCTTCCCCGGTGCCTCCGCCCCCACTGTCGCAGTCGCCGACCCCGCTGCCGCCGCCGTCGCCGTCGCCGCCGCAGCCGTCGCCGCTGTCGTCGCCGCCGCCGCCGCTGTCGCTGCCGCAGCCGTCGCCGCTGTCGCCGCCGCCGCAGCCGTTGCCGCCACTGCCGCCGCTGCTCTCGGCCCCTGGGGGTGCTGGTGTGGAGGAGGGTGTTCGTCCTGCGGCTTCTGGGGGTGCCGCTGGTGTTGGAGGGGGTTCTCGCTCTGGGGGTGTTGGTTCTGGGGGTGCTGCTGTTGAGTGTTCTGCCGACGGTCGTTCTGCCTCTGCTGGTCCGAGAGTTCCGGCCCAGCCGTCGTCGCCGCCGCAGCAGCCGTCGCCGCCGGTTTCCGCTCTCCGCCTGCTCGGCCTTCCCTCCCCGGACCGCGCGCCGGTGTCTCCCCCACCGCCTCCTGACCTCCCTGTCTACGGTCCTGTGTTCCCGCCGCCAGACTCGTCTCCGGCCCGTCTTCCTCCTCGTTCCCCTCCTGTGTCTCCTCCGCTGTCCCCTGACCCTACCCCTCCGTCTCACGTTTGGGCTCGCCGTCCCTCCCGTGCTCGTCCCGTCTCTCCTGTCCTGCCCACCCACCCTATGTTGCTCCGTTCCCACTCGTCTCGTCCTCCCCTCCTCCCGTCCCCTCCTCCCTCGTCCCTTACTGTTGCACCTCCTCCGTTCTCTGACTACCTCCGTGCTGCTCGTCCCCTTGTCCCTCGGGTCCTTGCCTCTCTTGTTACCGACCCTGCTGTTCCTGTCTCGCGCCTTGACGCGCTTGTCGCTGCTGTCGCTGACTTCGCTTCTACCCGCCGCCTTGACTACGCTACCGCTCTGGTCTCTGACCCTGCCCGTCCTCTGTCCGTCGGGGGTGCTCCTGCCCTTGGCAGTGACGTCCTAGAGGACAGGCAGTACGAGCTGGCTTTCCTTTCCGAGGCTGCTCCCCATCTCTGCTCCATGCTGTTAGTCCCTGAGGGTGACCCAGACGCCTTCGACATCCCGACCCCTCGCACCTACGCTGAGGCCACCTCGGGACCTTGGGCCTCTCAGTGGATAGCTGCCATGGAGCAGGAGATGGCATCTTGGAGATCCACCGGCACTTACGTCGACGCAGTTCCCCCGCCTGGGGTGAACGTAGTCGATGGTCGGTGGCTCTTCAAGGTGAAGCGCCCCCCTGGAGAGCCGCCTGTCTTCAAGGCGCGCTACGTGGCCAGAGGTTTCAGTCAGCGCGAGGGGGTTGACTTCTTCCAGACCTTCGCCCCGACCCCGAAGATGACCACTCTTCGGGCGCTGCTACACGTAGCAGCACAGCGTGACTACGAGCTTCACTCCCTCGACTTCTCTACTGCCTTTCTTCAGGGCAGCCTACACGAGCAGGTCTACCTGCGCCGACCACAGGGCTTCACTGGTACCTTCCCTCCTGGGACCCAGTGGCTTCTCAGGCGCCCGGTCTACGGCCTGCGTCAGGCTCCCCGCGAGTGGCACGACACGCTACGTGCCACGTTAGCAGACCTGCAGTTCTTTCCGTCCTCTGCTGACCCTTCACTGTTTGTGCGTTCCGGCCAGACTCCGTTCTACATCCTTGTCTACGTAGACGACCTGGTCTTCGCTACTCCTGACAGGGACGCACTGGCCTCTGTGAAGGCTGAGCTGCTGAAGAGACACACCTGCACTGACCTTGGAGAGCTGCGTCGCTATCTTGGCCTGCAGATCTCTAGGGACAGAGCAGCACGCACCATCACTCTGACCCAGTCACACTTGGTGCGTCAGGTCCTTCAGAGGTTCGGTCTTCAGTTCTCCTCCGCACAGCCCACACCTCTACCCGTAGACCATGGGCTCTCTGCTCCCGTTCCTGAGGAGCCAGTAGAGCCCAGTGGCCCCTACGCAGAGCTGGTGGGTTGCCTCATGTACCTGATGACTTGCACTCGCCCAGATCTCGCATACCCTCTCAGCATCCTGGCTCGCTTTGTGGCTACAGGCAGACACCGACCTCAGCACTGGTCTGCCGCTAAGAGGGTTTTGCGTTATCTTGCTAGTACATCAGGCATGGGGTTAGTGCTAGGAGGACGCAGGCCAGTGGTCCTTACTGGGCACACAGACGCTTCTTGGGCAGACGACGCTGAGACGCTCAGGTCGTCGCAGGGCTACTGTTTCAGCCTTGGTTCGGGTGCTATCTCTTGGAGATCCACTCGCTCGTCGTCTGTGGCTCAGTCTAGCTGTGAGGCTGAGATCTACGCTGGTGCCATGGCGGCACAGGAGCTCCGCTGGCTGACCTTCTTGCTCACAGACTTAGGTGAGCGGCCTAGCTCTGCCCCGGTCCTGTACGCTGACAACAGGGCCATGATACTCCTGTGTCAGGAGCCTCGGCTTGAGGGCAGAGCGAAGCATATCCAGCTGCGGTACTTCCTCCTGCGCGAGCTACAGCAGCGCCGCCAGGCCCGCGTAGTTCACTTGGCCTCAGGTGCCAACACAGCTGATATCTTTACTAAGGCGCTTGCGCCTAAAGATCATCAGCGGCACTGTGTACAGCTTGGTCTTGTTCCTATAGCTGCTCCCCTGTTAGGATCCTGATTGTGTACTCTCTATTATATATGCTTGTCAGACTGGCCTTGTGGCCTTACCTCCAGTGGCTGGACTAGTAGTGCCACCCTGGCTTGCTTCAGTTTTGGTTGTATTCTTGCTGACTGGTCTCCAGACCCCTGCCTCAGTGGTTGGACTAGTAGTGCCGCCCTGAGCTGTTTGCTTCTTGTTTAGTTTCACCCCTTGTCTAGCCTAGGGGGTGTGTCAACTTATACATATTATCTATGTAGAAGTTATAGGCTAGACTGAGGTATGCTTCTAGTGAGTACAACCAACTAGTATTTGTTCTAGGTTTCCACCTCTAGTAATCATTCGTTTCTACGTTAACACTAACCACTGGGACAATAAGATATGTCATCAGGAGGGTTAGGGTCTAATATCCACCTTCCCCGAGGAAAGCCTCCATAATACCCTCCCTAGAGATAGAGAGAGGATCGACAGGGTTATCCCAGTGCCACGACACACCCCCCCGCTGGGATAGCATACACTAGGAATTGAACCCCGGATGGCTCTGATACAAAGACAAAAAGTCACCAGTCCTAACCACTGGGACAAAAAGGGATGTCATCAGGAGGGTTAGGCTCCATATATCCACCTTCCCCGAGGAAAGCCTCCCCAGTACCCTCCGTAGAGATAGATGGAGGATCGACATGGTTATCCCAGTGGCACGACAATATCTCCCTTGTTCTCTCTTCTTGCTAATTCTTTCTAGTCTTCTAACACCCCCTTCCCCCCACAGTTTCGATTCCCCCTTCCCCCACAATTTGATTCCTCTTTCCCTGCAATTCGATTCCCCATTTCGATTTGGGCAGCCAAGATCCTCTCGACCTTGCTAGCTAGGGATTTTCGCTCAGCGACTTGATGTTTCTGCCCGGTTTTCCGGCGCTAATGGTTGTTGACGTGCGATTTCATCCTTCTCGCCTTTTGCAGCTGAGCGGACCTTGTAATACAAGAACAAATACAGTTTTATAACGAATGAAACGAGGGTGTTATGTAAAATTTAATGTCAGAAAAACAGGTGCTCTAAAAATTACACCATATCATAAGCACCCCCCCCCCCCCAGTATTAACCACCCATGGAGTGACTATTTCAGCGGGTGTTATACACGGGGGATTACGGTAGCAAAAAGCTGCCTCCTGATTCATTGAAATTCAGCTCTGTTCATCGTGAATTTGACAATTGGCGAGGCCTGCCATGAGGAAGTCACATGGACGATGGAATCAAAGCTAGGGCCGTGAGGTGAATCACCAGAGTGTCCCCTTTGAACATGTTGGGCCATATGACGAGACTCGGCAGACCCTTAGCCGCCTTAAAAGCCACCAATTGCGTGGCCTTACCATTCCATTTCTTTACAGCCTCGCCCAGTACAGTAGTGTAGCTTGTACCCGCCGCAGCGTTAGCAAAATCCTTGTAGAGATGGTACTCGGGGAGCATGTTGTTCTGGCCGAGAGTGGTGAAGTCTGTGAGGGTGTAACCGTTAGAATAGGCCATGTACATGGTGTAGGGGTCCGTGGGGAGGAAGAGGGTGATGGGGCCGTCCTGGTTGATCGCTAGGAGCACTGCAGATGGGGTGGAAGCAGGGAAGAGGGAGGGGAAAGCCAAGCAAGGGGACACGGGAAGTGAGAGAGAGAGGGTGCAACAGCCTGAGTACGCCATGTGCACGTGTGTAGAGCAAGGGGGTGATTTGCCCCTTCTGGTTGACTGTCAGCAGCACTGCTCAGGGGGTAAAAGGTGGGCAATGCATAACAAGGGGGAGAAGAACAGGGGATCAGGGACATGCCAGAATTCATCTCCTGAACAGGGCACATGGTATAGGGCACATGGCATAGGGACGTGTAGGCACGGGGATGTCGGTAGGAAGGGAATAGGTGGGCTGGGTGGCCTCGTGAGTCTCTCATGGACAGGAGAAGGTAATGGGGGGCGGAGAGCAAGGGACCACGAGAATGGGACAGCAAAGGCGCCATCAGGCCACGTGCACGAGGGGAGAAAATGAGGGGATAGATGAGGGAACCGATTAGGGGACTGTTTGAGGGGACACATGAGAATTGCACGAGGAGAGAAAGCATGGGGAATATATGAGGGGGATGCATGAGCGGAATGCATGAGCGGAACGCGGCATGTGGGCAATGCATGAGCGGAATGCATGCGGATTGCCAGGGGAAAAAAAAAAAAGTTTTAGGAATGAAACAGGGGAAAATAAGAGGGACGTAACCGAAGGGAGTTCACGAGGACGACGCATGAAGAGAGTGCATCGGAGTGCGCACCGTGTGACGCGGAAAGCACAAGGGGGGTACACAAGCGTAAATGACGAAATTCGAGACGAGCGAATGAGCGCCAGGACGTGAATCGTGTTCCCCTGAGCGCACTTCCCTCGTGACGTCCCATCCGATGCTCGCGAGGACATGTCGAGATGTTTCGATTGGTAAGGCCGCATGCCATACTATGCGCCGCCGACCTTTAAAACCGGCGCCGTTGTACGTCAGAAATATATAATATTTTAGGGAATTAAGTTGTAGCATCAGGAATGAGCTTCTTACCAAATTTTTCAAGAAACGACTTGAAGTTGAAGGCTCGAAGGCGCGGGCTTCGCCGAATCTTCTTCAGCGCGCGGCGGATGTCTCTCCGGCTCACCGCGTCCGCAGTTTCCGCGAAGCTGCTAGCGAGCAGCAGCAGCACGAAGACAAATCCCATCACGGCCTTCGTCTGTCTTCCCGTCGCTGACGCCATGATGACGTGTCGTCTCGGATTGAGTTGAACAAATAGGCTCACTTATTGCGCTGCGACAACTTTTCCGAGTTGGAAAACGGTTTTTATTTTTCTTTTCCGAGTTGGAAAACGCGAATCCGCCGGCCGCTGATTGTGCCAATTTCTGCTCGCCACGAAGCGGCTTCTCCGATGACAGCACCGGGCGCCTTTTTCTCGGCGCTGAGTCCGGCGACTAGAAAAGCCCGTCCTCAACGAATCGTCCCGCAAGGTTGCGCGTGAAGCGAAGCGGCAGCGGCCAGACGGAGACTATAGGGCTAAAGCGACGCTTTAGTTCAGAAAAGAAGCTCCCCGGACGCAGATTACACAGTGAAAATGGTGGGGGTGGTGCCATCTTATGTGGTGCGACTTGGGCTGCTGCTGCCAACGAATGGCGAGTTGTGTTGTGTTCCCTGCTGCTTGTTGATGGAGCGAGCCGATCAGCCCTACCCTGCCATGACGAGAGGGGAACTTTGATTTGAAGCGGCTTTCGCTGCTCGCCGATTGCCGAAGGCAGCTTCGCTATGTTGGGGGCCTGAAATTGGCGCCTGCGCGCAACCAAAGGGTGTGATGGGCAGGCCTCTCGATGTGTTTTGGGGCACCCAGCCAGATCCGAGAAGGGACCGAGCGTCACCCTGCCACTGCAGGATTTGGCCGGGAACCCAACATTCCAGTCGGAAATGGCAGGGTGAAAAATTTTCCGAGTCTGAATCGAACTAGCAACTTTTCTCTATTCCTCGTCGTCACCTCAAGGGTCCGGTGAGACTCTGGCAATCACGCGGCTTCAAAACTGGGGGATAGATTTCAAGGAAGAAATCCTACAGGGATCTGCAAAAGCTTAGACTTCGCCAATTTTCCAGCCACCTGTCGGACTAGGGACAAATTGACCCAATTCCCAACGCATGCCAAATTTACAACCAAACTCTAGGGCAATGTGGAGGAGAAATTTTAGACTGGGTGAATTTTAGCCCCTGTGGTAAAGGAATTTCACCTCTGGGTATTCCTGCCACAGGCTGGGCGCACTCAGGGTTCCAGGTACAAAAAACTCTCATAAATCTGGGTGACCCGTAGCATGGTCTGAAATTAGCAGAATGGTACCGTCCTCGGACCCTCTTTTTGCAGCCTTACCTGAAAAGTCCCTTCTGAAAAAAACAGGCTAAACAGGGTGAAATGTCCTGAATTCCTGGGGCCTTGTGGTGGGGCGGATGCGGGGGATCAGACTGGTAGTTCTGGGAGGGTGTAGGGGGGGGGAAAGCAATGGTGGATGGAGCGTCATCGGACTTTCGGTATCGATCGTGTGGCAGATAGTGGTTCGGCGAAGCAACTTTGTGGTTCGGCGAGTGGCCTTATCGCTTCTACAACACCTGCTGCGCCTCCCCCCTGGTCTCATTTATGGGCGAGGAACAACCGCATCTGCCGTGTTGCTAAAAGCCGAGTGGAGACTAAAAGCCGACAAGGGAGCGCCAGGTGCGGCCCCCCATCAGCAACACGCGAAGATTTCTCAACTGGGGCTTGCCATTTGCGCGCGACACTCGAAGATTACTTGCTGGCGAAAGGGTAACATTGGGGGTTTCGCGGGATTCCTTTCCAACCAGCTTCCAGGAGCTGCAAACGCGAACAAGAAACCGAGTCGCGAAACATACATTAGCGCACCGCCCTAGTGGCGGCAAGTTTGCGGTCAGCCCTTGGAATGTACATGGGTCGAAAATGGCTGCCCAAACAGAGGCAGGAAGGAATGATGAGCCAATGGCGACCATTTCGGCGCCAGACCGATGTATATTTCACCAATCAGAGCCCGCACCCGGCTTAGGGCTTGGCGCAAGAAAGGTTCCTTTGGGGTGCCCAGGTTTGGGGGGCGCCCAAACCAAACCAACCACACAACCTAGCCCACCACGCGCGTTTTGGTACAAAACGCCCCTAGCGTGAGCCCCGCAGGTACGGAGCTCCGTACTCAACAAAAGCGCAATCAATGTAGAACCTCATACCAACTATTGTGGAAATGGGATAAAATAAGGCTGCCATTTTATTGAAATCTTCCTTAATGATATTTTTTTTGGGAGGTTATGTAGTGCTGAAGTACGTCGCCTCATCATAACGAAGCGAAACGAGCCTGAAAAAATGCCACGCCCAAAGCAGACTTCCTGATGCGCAAAGCGATGCGATAATCCAAGAAAAATCAACTCCTCAGACCCTCACTATTCACAAAAGAACACAGCAGTCTGTCAGCTCACCCCTGCACAAGCGGTGGTTATTTGAAACGGCACGTCTCTATTTCAGAAGTGAAGCCTTCCCCTTGCTGGCCTCAGCCACCACCTGGCGCCCTTCAAACAGCTGCCGCACGAGCCGCTCGATGTCCTCCGGCTGGTACTTGACGTGCTTGGAGAGATTCTTCAGGGAATCCACCACCGGGCTGGTAGGGAGACGGTGTGTGTATGGGGGGGTGGGAGGACAGAAAGGGGTATGATGAGCTGCCGCACCAGCCACTGTCTCCTCAGGCTGTCACTTGACGTGCTTGGAGAGGTTCTTTAAAGAATCAACCACCGGGCTGGTAGGGAGGCAGTGTGTGTGTGTTGGAGGAAGAATGCAGGAAATGGTGAAAGGGGAGAGGGGGGAGGGGTATGAGCTGCTGCACCAGCCGCTCGATGTCCTCCGTCTGGTACTTGACTTGCTTAAAGAGATTCTTCAGCGAGGCAACCACGGGGCTGGTAGGGAGTCAAGGTGTGTTGGAGGGGGAGGAGGTGGTGGGGGAGATAGGGATGTGAGCAGCCGCACCAGCCGCTCTGTCTCCTCGGGCTGGCACTTGACGTGCTTGGGGAGGTTCTTCAGCGAGTCAACCACCGGGCTGAGGGTAGGCGAGGGGATGTGGGACGAGCGGGAGTTAGGGGCGTAAGGTGAAGTATCTAGATGGTATTTGCACTTGACGTGCTTCGAGAGGTTCATCAACGAATCAACCACATGGCTGACACCGGGCGGGGAGGGGCATGGGAAGCGGGAAGGGGGAAAGGGGGAAGTGGGGAGGGAGAAGAGGGGAGGGGGGAGGGGGGAGAGGGGGAGAAAGGGGGCATGAGCCCCCCAAGAAAGCTTTGATCGTCGAATCAACCACAGATACCATCGCCCCACTCACCTGTAGCGCCGCAGCATGTCCCGGCAGGCCGGCAGGATCTGGTCGATGACTGCCTGCCGCACCAAGGGGGATTCACGGGAATCGCCGCCAAGTACACAGCAGCACTGCACAGCACTCCTGAGCACACACTCACCCGTAGCGCCGCAGCATGTCCCGGTAGGCCGGCAGGATCTGGTCGATGACTGCCTGCCGCACCACCTTCTGCAGCTCTGCATCCGGGATGGTCCACGTGAGCTGAGGGAGGGGGGAAAGAGGGGGGGAAGATGGGGGGAGAGAGATGGTGGGGTCAGGAACTCAAGTTGACTGCCTGCCGCACCACCGTCCGCAGCTCAGCGACTGAGATGGTCCAAATGAGCTGAGGTAGAGGGGACAGGGAAGGGAGCGGGGAGACGATGGAGGGCAAGGGGTGCTGAAGGCGGGAAGGAAACCGGCGCACCAACATCTGCTGCAGCTGTGCCTGGGGTTGTTCATGTAAGCTGAAAGCGAGAAACAGAGGACAAAGAAGTTGAGGGGAGGGGATAGTGGGAGCCTGAGAAGCGGCAAGGAGGACTTTGATGCACAAACTGATGCACCATCTCCTGCGTCCGGTACGGCCCAGGCGAGCAACGTGAAAGAAAATACTTGTTTTTGAGATGTCTCAGAACAAGTCTTGTATCACGTGTTATTGATTCACAAACTGATGCACCGTCTCCTGCATCCGGTACAGCATGGGAAGTACAGCAATGCAACAAGGCGCGAATGGGAAGTACAGCAATGAAACAAGGCGCGAATGGGAAGTACAGCAATGAAACAAGGCGCGAATGGGAAGTACAGCAATGAAACAAGGCGCGAATAGGAAGTACATCAATGAAACAAGGCGCGAATGGGAAGTACAGCAATGAAACAAGGCGCGAATAGGAAGTAGAGCAATGAAACAAGGCGCGAATGCGAAGTACAGCAATGAAACAAGGCGCGAATGGGAAGTACAGCAATGAAACAAGGCGCGAATAGGAAGTAGAGCAATGAAACAAGGCGCGAAAGCGAAGTACAGCAATGAAACAAGGCGCGAATGGGAAGTACAGCAATGAAACAAGGCGCGAATAGGAAGTACATCAATGAAACAAGGTGCGAATGGGAAGTACAGCAATGAAACAAGGCGCGAACGGGAAGTACAGCAATGAAACAAGGCGCGAATGGGAAGTACAGCAATGAAACAAGGCGCGAACGGGAAGTACAGCAATGAAACAAGGCGCGAATGGAAAGTACAGCAAGAGCGACAAGCAATGACCGCAGCACCAAGAAGAAGAGCATTACCCGGTTTACAAAATATCAGTTGCGCACTGTACCTGCTTGTTGTATTGCTCCTCAAACGCTGCGTTGAAGACCTTCAGCCTGGCAAACAGAAGAGGGGGCCAGGAAGGGGAGTGTGCCTTTTGAGTCGAGTGAACAGGGATGGGGCGTCTGCGCATGCGCGTGCATGGTGAGAGTACAGTCACGATAACGCAAGATAGCAAACGCCCCCAACCCCTCTATGCTACCTCACCCAGCTCATGTCTACTCAAAGCCGCTCACACCTGGCCCTGACTCACCTGACTCGCCACTAGCCCCCTGACCTGCCCAAACTTCTACCCCCTTCCCCTAGCCACAGGCCAAGCAGCTCACTTCGCCATGCTGACCGACTCTCCCAGAACTCCTAGAAATCCGTCCCCCCGAGCCCCTCTAGCCCTCCAAACCAATCCCCTCGAACATTCAGCCAACTGCGCATTTGCCCATTTGCCCATTTGCCCATGTGCCCATCATTTGCCCATCATTTGCCCATCATTTGCCCATCATTTGCCCATCATTTGCCCATTTGCTCATTTGCCCATTTGCCCATTTTTGCCCATTTTTGACCATTTTTGACCATTTTTGCCCATTTTTGCCCATTTTTGCCCATTTTTGCCCATTTTTGCCCATTTTTGCCCATTTTTGCCCATTTTTGCCCATTTTTGCCCATTTTTGCCCATTTTTGCCCATTTTTGCCCATTTTGCCCATTTGCCCATTTGCCCGGTGCCCGGTGCCCAGTGCCCAGTGCCCAGTGCCCAGTGCCCCTTGCCCCTTGCCCCTTGCGCCTTGCCCCTGCCCCCTGCCCATTGCCAGCTCACTTCTCCTTGAGCGCGTTCTTGTTGATCACCTCTCCCTGCGGGCTCAGCACTCCCAGCACCTGGTGGTGGCGGTGGGAGGTTGACGGGGGCGGGGGAGGGTGGGTGGTGGGGAAGAGAGGGGGAGGTGAGGCATGCCCCGAGTCGCCTCAACAATCACCTCTCCCTGCGCGCTCAGCACTCCCAGCACCTGGTCATGGACGTGGGGGAAAGGTGGGGGGGGAGAGGGATGGTGGCGGTGGGGGGAGAAGGGGTGGGGGGGTGGGGGTTTGAGGTATCCCTTGAGGCGCCTCAATGACCGCCTCTCCCTGGGGGTGCAGCACCTGATGATGGAGAGGGGGGGGGGGGGAGGAGGATGAAGGTTAGAGGGGTGCCTCAAGAATCATCTCTACCTGGTGTGGGGCGGATAGGAGGGATGAAGAGCGGCCGGTTGGTAGCCTGTCCAGCGACAGGGCTCTGAAACCCTGAACCACTTTTGAGTCGACTCCCCTCCCCCCCCCCTCACCTTGCTCCCCCCCTCACCTTGCTCCCCCCCCTCACCTTGCTCCCCCCCCTCACCTTGCTCCCCCCCCTCACCTTGCTCCACCCGCTCACCTTGCTCCACGCCAGCTTCTGGTACATGGCCTGGTGCTGCTGCACTATCTTGCGATGCCGCTGGATCCACTCCTCGCCCACCAGCTGCCGCGCCTGGTCGGATCTGAAGGGAGGAGGGGAGAAGGGGGGTTGGGGGGCAAGGTTAAAAAATACGCCTTTTTCATAAAAAAATTCCCGTATAAAACGGTATCGAATTAAACGGCCGCTTAATACGAAAAAAACGGTGGAAATTGTGCAGAAATAGGTTGGTTCAAAAATACGGCCGAGATTTTTAAACAACGTGCAAAACAATCCGACGAAATGCGCAGATCTGGCATTTCGCCTGCCGAAATGCATGGATCTGGCATTTTGCCCGCCAAAAAGTGCCGGATCTTGTATTTTTAGTGGACGAAATGCATGGATCTCACGTTTCGTCAGCCGAAATACGCAGATCTGACATTTCGCCTGTCGAAATGTGCGGATCTCGCATTTGGGCGGACACAAGGCGTGGATCTGGCAGAAGATTAGGCTGTCTACCAAAAAAAAAAGAAAAAAAAAAAAGAGAGATGCTCGATTGAAAAAACGACGTTTTTCCCGAAATCCCCGAAAAAAACGGTCAAATAATACGGACCGTATTTTTCGAAAACCGTATTTTTGAACCTTGTTGGGGGGAGAGGGGGGGGGGGAGATGATGATAAGGAGGAAGGAGTGAACAAGCATAGCCCTGGATCCACTCCTCCCCCAGCAGCAGCAGCCGTGCCTGGTCATGAGGAGGACCAGCTGTGGAAGGCGGCATGCACTGTGGAGCGTGCACTGCATCGAGGCTCAGTGCTTGCCCCCCACCTCAGCGCTCAGTGCTTGCCCCACACCTCAGCGCTCAGTGCTTGCCCCCCACCTCAGCGCTCAGTGCTTGCCCCCCACCTCAGCGCTCAGTGCTTGCCCCCCACCTCAGCGCTCAGTGCTTGCCCCCCACCTCAGCGCTCAGTGCTTGCCCCCCACCTCAGCGCTCAGTGCTTGCCCCCCACCTCAGCGCTCAGTGCTTGCCCCCCACCTCAGCGCTCAGTGCTTGCCCCCCACCTCAGCGCTCAGTGCTTGCCCCCCACCTCAGCGCTCAGTGCTTGCCCCCCACCTCAGCGCTCAGTGCTTGCCCCCCACCTCAGCGCTCAGTGCTTGCCCCCCACCTCAGCGCTCAGAGCGCGCCATGTAGTGCTTGCTCTACAGCTTCGCCTTAGCCTCCGGGTTGTTCTCCAGCACCGCCAGAATGCGCACTCTACCCTGCACTGCAGTGCTTGCTGCGGTGTTTGCCTCTCCTGCAGGCCTGTCAGAATCCGCAGCGTAACGTGCAGTGCTGGTTACCATGTACTCCCTGCGCTACCACACATTGCTCTACCATCCAGTGCTAGCCGTACCATGCACTGCTAGCCCACACACTCACTTCCTGATGGAGCGCACGATGTAGTGCTTGTTGTTCATGAGGAAGAGCTGAGTGAGCGCCATGTCCTTGTACAGCTTCGCCTTGGCCTCCAGGTTGTTCTCCAGCACCGTCAGAATGCGCAGCGTCGCCACCTCCAGCCGCGGCTTCTGCCGCGCCGATGGGTCCCCGCCCTGCCAGTCCTTCTCGCCCCTCTCCTTCTCCGCCTCCTCGAACAACTGCCGCAATGTGCCCTCATAGCTGGGGGAAGAGGGAGAGGGGGGGGAGCAGAGACGGCTCAGTGAGAAGACAGGTCCCCGCCCTGCCAGTCCTTCTCGCCCCTCTCCTTCTCCGCCTTTTCGAACAACTGCCGCAATGTGCCCTCGTAGCTGGGGGTTGTGGGGTGAGGGGGGAGAATGCAGGGGTCAATGGGAGGAGGGACGCAGGAAGAGGGGGAAGCAGGAAGAGAGGGAAGCAGGAAGAGAGGGAAGCAGGAAGAGAGGTCTGATTCAAGCCTCCAGGTTGTTCTTCAGCGCTGTCAGAATGCGCAGCGTCGCCACCTCCAGCCGCGGCTTCTGTCTCGCCCAAGGGTCCCTGCCGTGCCAGTCCTTCTCTCCCCTTTCCTTCTCTGCTTCTTCGACAACTGGCCAAGCGTGAGGGGGGGGGAGTATAGAAAAGGGTAGGGAAAAGCGGCACGTGGGGGTAGAGGAAAGTCGGATGAGGGGAAGAGTGATGCGCCTTGACCTGCAGGTTGTTCTCCAGCACCGTCAGAATGCGCAGCGTCGCCGCCTCCAGCCGTGGCTTCTGTCTAGCCGAGGGGTTGCTGCCCGGGCAGTCCTTCTCACCCCTCTCCTTCTCCACCTCCTCAAAGAGCTGCCACAGCGTGCGTGCCCTCACAGCTGGGAGAATGTAGACATGGGCATGAGCCGAGCCTGGCTCGGCTCGGCTCGTCCAGGGGTCGAGCCGAGCCGGCTTGCCGTCGAGCCTGGCTCGGCTCGAGTCGAGCCGGGCACCAAACATGCCTGGCTCGGCTCGCATTTCTGTGGGCGAGCCAGGGCCGGCTCGGCTCGGCTCGCCTAGCACGTGCTTAAGCCAACAGTAGTGCGCGCTGGAGCCTACGCAAGCGCGCGTTGTTAAGAGTGGCAGGGGCTGCTTAAGATTTATCGCGCGAACTAACCTAATGAGATACTCCTAGGCGCGCAGAATTCTAGGGTTCGCGAAATTGATGGGAAGTAGATTGTGAGGAGGAAGAAGGGTGTTAGAGGTTAGGCTGGAAGTTGTAGATGCAATAGTGTGCAGTGCGGTTGAGCGGGGCAAAAGGGTTGGATGGGTTTTGCGACTGGTTGAATTCGCCAGGTCGCAATGTCGCGGGAAAGAATTCCGCGACAAACATTTTGGGCGGGCGTTTAGCGTTTACCGTTTAAACGCAGCGTTTAAACGCTAAACGCTGCACCGCCAGAACGTTTGTGGGAACAAAGACTAGGAGTTGTTGGCGGGAGAGAGAAATGGGAGACACGTTTTGTCGAGGGGGAAATTTTACCCTTGAAATCGAGTGGCGAGCCACCTGGCTCGAAATCGAGCCGGGGACGAGCCGGCTCGACCCCGGCTCGACGAGGACATCGTGTACGAGCCGAGTCGAGCTGGCTGGCTCGACCGAGCCGAGCCGGCTCGGCTCAAGTCGAGCCAGATCCCAAATGGTGAGCCGAGCCGAGCCGAGCCGGATGTGGCTCGGCTTGTGCCCATGTCTAGGAGAATGTGGTGTGGGGGGCCGGGGGGAGGGGTACGGTCAGGCTGCAGGTCAATGGAAGGAGAGGAGGGGTCCCCTCCCTGCCAGTCTTTCTTGTCCCGCGCTCCTTCTCCGCTCCCTCCAACAGCTGCCTTAGCCTGCCCTCGTAGCTAGGGTTTGTGGAGGGGGAGAAGGCGGGGAGGTCAATAGGAGGAGGGGGGGAGGTCAATGGGAGGAGGGGGGGAGGTCAATGGGAGGGAGGGAGGGGGGAGGTCAATGGGAGGAGGGGGGGAGGTCAATGGGAGGAGGGGGGGAGGTCAATGGGAGGAGGGGGGGAGGTCAATGGGAGGAGGGGGGGAGGTCAATGGGAGGAGGGGGGGAGGTCAATGGGAGGAGGGGGGAGGTCAATGGGAGGAGGGGAACAGGAAGGGGGGGAGAAGAGGTATGGTCCAAGCCTCAAGGCTGCTCTCTCGTCACGCCCTTGCAGGTTGCTCTCCAGCACTGTCACAATCCACAGTGTTGCCATTCAGCCGTCGCCCACGGGCATGCGCATGGACATGGACATGGACATGGACATGGACATGCGCATGCTGGTCTCGTCCATCGAGGATTACGAGAGGCACACAGCGGCATGGCAGTTTGAGGAACTCCCTGATTCACACGGAGGCACTCGAAGAGGAACATGGCGTCTGTGATGGCATAGCTGGCTGGTGAGCGCGTGCACCGTGCCATCAGCAACGGCCATGTGCGTGCTGTCCTTCTCAGCCCTAGGCTTACCCTACCTCCCTCCCGCCCCAGGGCGAGACATACACAGGGCGCCAGCAGCACTCACTCGAAGAGGAACTTGACGTAGTTGATGACATAGCTGGTCAATGGGTGCACGGTGCCATCAGCAACAGGCGTGCGAGTGCTGTCCTTCTCCACCGCATCCTCAAACTCGCTGAACGTGTCGCGGCTGATCTCTGCCAGGCTTCTTTGCAGGGAACGGAGGTACTCCCTACACGGAATGCAGGCGTTGCCGGGGAAGGCGTCAGTCACCTGTGTCAGGGATTAAGGGAAGGGAGGAGGGGGGGTGTGTGGGAGCAGAGAGGGGGAGAGGAGGACGAGGGGGACGGGGAGGGTTGAGGAGGGAAGGGAAGGGGGAAAGAGGGAGGGAAGGGTAAGGGGAGTGCGGGTGCTGTCCTCCACCGCGTCCTCAAACTCGCTGAGCGTGGCGCGGCTGATCATGGCATGCACTGGCCATGGGTATGCATCTCACCATGGGCGTGCACTGGCCAGAGGTCTCGTACATGTCGAGCAGCATGGAGACAGTAATACGAACCTTTGAGTTGCACTCTCACCATGGGCATGGAGTCTCACCATGGGCACGGAGTCTCAGCATGGGCATGGAGTCTCACCATGGGCATGGAGTCTCACCATGGGCATGGATGGAGGCTTGAGCAAAATACCCGCGCGGGTCGGCTACCCGGACCCGGATCCGCTTTTTGGGCGGGTCGGGTATCTGGATTCCGGAAAATTACCCGGTGGGTCGGTTCCGGGTAGCTGGGCGGGTATTTCCTACCCGGTACCCGAAATGTTACCCGACCACGCGGGTAACGGGTACCCGTCGGGTCGGGTAATTAATACCCGAGGTCGGGTATTACAGCTAGACATGGGCGTAAGTCGCGCTGTGTTTTAGGTTTTGCGGCAAAACGGTTTGGGAGGTGAGGGGGGAAGACTGGAGCATTTGTGAGGAGAAGTTGGAGTTTGTAGGGAGTTGGTTGGGAGTTGGAAAACAGGTTGGAGTTTGTAGATGGGGAGGAGTTAAGTGCGGCGAAAGGGAGGGATTTGGTTGTAACTGGAAAAAGGTTGGAGTTTCTAGATGGGGAGGAGTTAAGTGCGGTGAAAGGCAGGGAAGCTGTTGGAACTTGAAAGGCCCCCAGAAAACGCGACTCTCAATTGAGAGTCGCGTTTTCAGAACCCTACCTAGCCTAGACTGCTTTTAGGTGGCCCGCTAGTAGGTGGCGGGTGCAAACACACCAATGGCAATTGAGCATGAAACAGAGCTCGTTTAGGCCTTTTTTTATGGGCGGGTAGCAATACCCGCTTGCCTAAACCAGGTCGGGTATACCCGGATCCGCCAAGCGGGTATTATATTACCCGTCTTTTTTTTTATGGTCTTGGGCATATTACCTGACCCGCACCCGACCTGAAAATACCCGACCCTAGGTCGGGTATGGCAAAACCGGGTCGGGTCGGGTAATTACCCCGTTTTGCTCATCCCTAGCATGGAGTCTCACCTTGGGCATGGAGTCTCACCATGGGCATGGAGTCTCACCTTGGGCATGGAGTCTCACCATGGGCATGGAGTCTCACCTTGGGCATGGAGTCTCACCATGGGCATGGAGTCTCACCATGGGCATGGAGTCGCGGATGGTCTCGTACATGTCGAGCAGCACGAAGAGCTTCTCGGGGGACTTCTGGCTCGACGCAATGGCCTCCCCGAACGACAGCAGCAGGGAGAGGCCCCGGTCGCCCATCTCCGCGTAGGAGATCTCCCGGTGCGGGTCCAGGCCGGCAAACACCTGGTAGCACAGCTCGCGCTCTAGAGGGAAGACTAGCATCATCTGTGTGGGAGGGGGAGAGAGAGGCGGGTGCGGGAAACGAAAGCACGGAGGCAGGGAGTAAGTGGAGCAGGAACTGTGGCAAAGAACAGCAGCAGGGAAAGCTGGTGCGTGACAACCAATCTAATCCCCCACTCGCGCAGATCTTGATGAGCTGGATCCGGCTGCACGTCGTTGCAATACTCGTGGCATTACAAGCAGCGCCCTAAGGGGGCATCCAGGAGCGCAAGCGGGTGCCAGCCCAGGCACTCACGCAGATCTTGATGAACTGGATCCAGTTGCCGATCTTCGTCTCCAGCTCCTCCCACTGCATGCGCAGCACGTCGTCCCGCGTCACCATCTCCACGCCCAGCCGCTTCAGCGACTGCTCCAACACATTGCCGCGCACCTCCCTAGAAAAGAGAGGCAAGTAGGGGTGGGGAAGTGGAGAAGGGGGGCGGTGGGAGAGGCAGCACGTGGTCCCGTGTGACCATCTCCACGCCGTTTCAGCGACTGCTCCAACGCGTTGCCGCGCACCTCCCTGAGAGAGGGAGGTGCCGCAGGGAACCAGTACAGGGGAGGGGGGAGGAGGGGGAAGGAGAAGGAGAGGCAGCCAGTGGGAGTCAACATCTTTACGCCCAGCTGCTTCAGGGATTGCTCCATGAGTGAAACAGGGAGATAGAAGGGGGTGGGACAGCAAACCCATCCCTCTGACCTACCTGATTCTGAATCAGGAACGGTAACCCTTGACACACTACAGCAGCCTCTCACCTGTACACGCGCGTGCACACAGATGCAGCTCCATTCTGGATCATCCGCCTGGCCACTGCATTCAGCCGCTCTATCAGCGTGGGCAGCAGCAGCACGGGCGGCCCCTTGCCGCCCTTGCTGGGCCCGATGCCCGGAATGAGGTTCTCGGGCGTCTGAGCAGGAGGGGGCAGCCCGGCCAGGTCGATTCCGAGCTCAGGCATGGCCTCGATGATCTTCGCCACGTCCATGGGCTTGCTGCCCAAGGGAAGGCCGGGGGACGGGAATAGCAAGGCGAGGTGGGAGGGGGGGATGAGGACCTCAGGCGTCTCAGCAGGAGGGGGCTGCCCGGCCAGGTCTATCCCGAGCTCAGGCATGGCCTCGATGATCTTTGCCACGTGCATGGGCTTGCTGCAGCAGGGGCGGAGGAAGGAGAGAGTGGGGTCGGCAGGGGGCGAGGAGAGACAGGAATGACGTTCTCAGGCGTCTGGGGGGGGGGGAGGGGGGAGAGGCAGCCCGGCCAGGTCGATTCCGAGCTCTAGCATGGCTTCGATGATCTTTGCCACCTCCATGAGCTTGTTGCTAAAGGGAAGAAGGGGAGGTGGGGGAATAGGGGGAGGAGTTGGGGGGGGGAGGGGGCGAGGGGAGGGGGGCCTGCAAGCAAGGGGAGAAGGCATCGAAGCGGGGATTCAACTAGACACACTTTGAGATGCCCCAAAAAGGCTCCGACATGGCTTTGAAGGTCCTCACCACCCCCTCGTTATCACACACTGTCTCTACAGTCACACCACCTTTACAATTCCACGCACCTGTTGTTGGCCAGCAGATGCCGGAAGTCCGCCTTCAACATGCCCATGACCTCCTTCATCAGCCCCCTGGCCTGCAGAGTAGCGCCCTCAGCGTAGTTGCTCCCTACCGTCACTTACCCTTACTGTCAGTTCCCCTTTCTGTCACACCCTGTATCTACAGTCACAATTTCATGAACCTGCTATTCGCCAGCAGCTGCCTGAAGTCCGCCTCCAGCATGCCCATAGCTTCCTTCATCAGCCCCCTGGCCTGCAGACCGCATCAGACTCCTCTCTGCAGCATGCTCCTATATTGTCACCATAGCTGCAGTAACCCTCTCTCTACAATCACACTCCCGCCCACCTGTTATTCGCAAGCAGCTGTCGGAAGTCCGCCTCCAGCATGCCCATGGCCTCCTTCATGAGCCCCCTGGCCTGCAGGGCAGCGCCCTCCGACGACTTGTAGTTGCGGTGCGAGTCAAAGAAGAGAAGGGCCTCCTGTAACATGTCCACTGCTGCCAGGTACGCTTCCAAGTCCCGCCGCGGCCCGTCCTTGATGCGCTGCTCCACCTGGTGGCACGCAGTAAGTGGGCAGGGGGGGGGGAAGGGAGGGAGGGAGGGAGGGAGGGAGGGAGGGAGGGAGGGAGGGAGGGAGGGAGGGAGGGAGCAAATGACTCGTGGTTGCGGTGCGAGTCAGAGAACAGCAGCGCCTCTTGCTTGCAGCACGTCCACGGCTGCTAGATACGCTTCCAGGAAGGAACCGACGGGGTCCGTCTTTGATGCGCTCCACTGCTCCACCTGGGGATACAGAGTAAGGTGGAAGGTGGGCGGGCGGGTGGGAAGGAAGACGACTTGTAGAGGTGGTGCGAGTCAAAGCTACAGCAGCGTCTCCTGCAGCAGCGTGCCCACGGCTGCCAGATATGCTGCCACATCGCGGCGGAGCCCGCTCTTGATCTGCTGCTCCACCTTTCAACACGTGGCAGGAAAAAGAAGGAGATGGGAGAGGAGGGAGAGGGGAAGGCGGGGAGGGATTAGGGAGTGAGGGAGGTCGTAGGAGGAGAAACGAAGACGGCTGATTTTGTGATCCAGGGACTCCTCTCCCCATTAAGTTACCAGCGTTCCTCAATAATCAAGTCACGTGCATTGGCCATGACTTCTACACAACGTGCCCATCGCCCACCTGCCGCCGCCCCACCCACCTGCTGCGGGATGTCGAACTTGTGGAGCACCGACTCCACGGCCCTGATGGTGGCCCAAGTGCTCATTGGGTTGCCCCACACTGCCTGTTATGGCCAGCGTACCCAACACAGTGCTTCTCAGCACGCCTCACCGCCCCACCTGCCCCCACCCACCTGCTGCGGGATGTCGAACTTGTCGAGCACCGTCTCCACGGCTCTGATGGTGGCGTCAATGTTAGCATGCGCCTTGCGGAACGCCAGTGTGCGCGCCTGGGGGGGGGGGGGGGGGGGAGAGGGATCGGTGCAGGGAGGAGGGGAAGAAGGGGGGGGGGGGGGGGGAGGGGGGGGTTGGGTGGAACAAAGTCCGTACGGTTTGATATTGGCGTTAATGTTGGCGTGCGCCTTGCGGAACGGCAGCGTGCGTGAGGAGAGAGGTGGGGTGAGGAGTGAGACGGGTGGGTGGGTGCAGGTACACTGGGCAGGACGTCAACGTTGGCACGCGCCTTGCAGAACGGCAGCGTGCACGCCTGGGGGGATGGGACAATGGGGCGAATGGGTTGGAGGAGATGGGAACGGGTGGAGGCCTGCAAGCATTTCCGTGTTTGGCGGCCAGCAATCCAGGGTGGAACAGGGCCCACAAGGGCGGACCGACCGACTGTTGACCCACCCAGTCCCCACTCCCACTGCTGACCGTTGCTAGCTGGCCCCCCAAAGCACCGCCTGTCACTGCCAACTCACAGCTGCTCACAGCAACTCACAGCTACTCACAGCAACTCACAGAAACTCACAGCAACTCACAGCAACTCACAGCAACACGCAGCAACTCACAGCAACTCACAGAAACTCAAGCAGCTCACAGCAACTCACAGCAACTCACAGCAACTCACAGCAACTCACAGCAACACGCAGCAACTCACAGCAACTCACTGAAACTCAAGCAGCTCACAGCAACTCACAGCAACTCACAGCAACTCACAGCAACTCACAGCTACTCACAGCAACTCACAGCAACTCACAGCAACTCACAGCTACTCACAGCAACTCACAGCAACTCACAGTAACTCACACCTACTCACAGCAACTCACAGCAAGTCACAGCAACTCACAGCCACTCACAGCTACTCACAGCAAGTCACAGCAACTCACAGCTACTCACAGCTTCTCACAACAACTCACAGCAACTCACAGCAACTCACAGCAACTCACAGCTACTCTCACAGCAAGTCACAGCAACTCACAGCAACTCACAGCAACTCACAGCAACTCATAGCAACTCACAGCAACTCACAGCTACTCACAGCAACTCACAGCAACTCACAGCAACTCCCAGCTACTCACAGCTACTCACAGCAACTCACAGCAACTCACAGAAACTCACAGCTACTCTCACAGCAACTCACAGCAACTCACAGCTACTTACAGCAACTCACACCAACTCACAGCTACTCACAGCAACTCACATCAACTCACAGCAACTCACAGCTACTCACAGCAACTCACAGCAACTCACAGCAACTCACAGCTACTCACAGCAACTCACAGCTACTCACAGCAACTCACAGCTACTCACAGCAACTCACAGCAACTCACAGCAACCCACAGCAACTCACAGCAACTCACAGCAAGGCCGTGCAGCCATTGCCACAGGGTGCCAATGTCCAGCCGCACCCACCTGCTTTCTCCCCTGTATCCAACTGAAGATGGGTATTAGTCGCACCTGGATGGTTCGCGTGACACCTGGATGGGTGCGCACACGCACACACACGCACACACGCGCACACACGCACACACACGCACACGCGCGCACACGCGCACACACGCGCACACGCGCACACACGCGCACACACGCACACACGCACACGCGCACACGCGCACACGCGCACGACCACATGTACTCACAATCAGTCACACCTGAATTGGTCGCATGGCGGTTTCCAGATTAGTGAGGCGCGCGTCGAAGGTGTTGAGGATGGTGATCATCTCCTCGCTCACCGCCTTGCTCTTCCCCAGCACCTCCCGCAGCTGCCCCGCCTGCGCGTTCAGCCGCCGCACCTCCGCCGCTGAGATCACCACGCGCCGCCGCGCCGGCTTCGTCGCCGTCGCTGGCGGCTCGTGGTGCTCCTCGCCGCGCCGCGCCGGAAGACTATGATGCTGCTGATGACGCGCGGCGGCGCGGTCCGTTGTGGAAGTACCGCCACGGTTCATGGTGCTCCTCGCCGCTGCGTGCTTGCGCGTCAGGCAATAGGGTACTGTAGCCTGCCTGCTCGCCGTTGCCTGCCTGCTCGCCGCTGCCTGCCGACTCGCCGCTGCCTGCCTGCTCGCCGCTGCCTGCCTGCTCGCCGCTGCCTGCCTACTCGCCGCTGCCTGCCGACTCGCCGCTGCCTGCCTGTCCGTCAGGCAATAGGATACTGTAGCCTGCTCTTGATTCGACTCAAAAGCGCGTCAGGCAGCAGGATACTGTAGCTCGGTGCAACACGTCTCGGCTTAGCTTAGCTCGTTATAGGTTTTGAGCCGTTAGTATTTCAATATTCTAACACGGGTCCTTTGAGCTTAGCGTCGCTCGTTATACTAAGACGGTTCCTTGAAATGTCGACTAAAGTATGGAGTAGAATGGTCTATATGCAATGGCTATAGTGGCGAAGAAGTCAGAAAGATGTAACCGCAGTAAGGCGTGCGAAACCTTGTCGTAAATGTCTCACTACCGTGTTCGCACTGATTGAGCCGTCAATGGAGAACCAAGGGGACGGTATGGTAAGCAACGCTACGGAATGCTCTCCGAAGGACCACGCGGAGTGAGGGGGAAATTTTCCAACAGCACGCGACCCACTATCGGCTAGACGCCTGTCAAGGACACTAGTAGTCTTATCACTTGCCAGTGGCAATCGGCCACTCTATGCTACCATTATCCCAGCGCAGACCATCAGCAGTGGCAGTTGCATTCCATAGTGACTCCCAACTGCACTCTCCTCTCCCTCGTGACAAGCTGCTGCGTGCCATTTCTGTTGTGGTCGTGGTGTTCCCCTCCCCACCCAGCAGAACCCAGGGTGGTTCTTTTGCGAAAAGAAAGTATGGTAACCTGAAATTGTGGTAACATTTAGCAATTGTGCAAGGAATTTCCATTACTTACTCACTCGTACGCTACTGCGTACACCCGAACTCCTCGACTCGTCACGTTCGGCCTCATTTGTCAGCCCAACCCTTTCCCGCGCCGCTTCCGGCACTTTCGCCACATTGCCGAACCTACCCACGTCCCGAGGTTATCGCCCTAGCACGCCAACCCCTATATAACCTCGTGCCTTCATTGCAATAGCAACCTTGTATTCTCACGTTATAGTGCATTAACATACCAGCTGGTATCAGAGCCCGAGCTTTCCAGGAACCTTCCATTTTCCCGTTTACTTAGTTAAGGGTGGTCAGAGGGGATTAGCACGGCTGCACAGCAGTTGTCTTGGATCGTAAATACTTTTACGTCAACAACTATAGCGTGTGCGCTAGCTTCTGCCCCGTCCTGACCGCCATGGCCTCGGTAGACTCGACAGTTGAGGGACAGTCCACCTCGACTGCTGTGAACCCTGCCCGGGAAACTGTGGACCTGCAAACATTAATGGAGCAGTTGAAGAATTTGACAAGCATCGTCAATGCCCTCCGCGACGAGAACCAACGACTTCGCCAGGCGCAGGAGAGGCGTCCAGAGGAGCCGGGCGACGATGCACGAAGCGAGGCGGGTGAGCAGCAACCGTTGCCAGTGGAGCTGGCACGACAAGCAGCAACAGCCCCGCGCTCGACAAGTGGCGGCGTAAGATATCAGCAACCCGCTCCTTTCGACCCAGCTAATAAAGGCGTGACAGTGCGGCAGTGGATATTCACCATGAATATCTATTTTAACGCGACGGGCATCAGAGACGATAAAAAGCGGATCAGCCACGCGTTAACACTGTTGCAAGGGGCCGCCCTACAATGGTGGAAGGTCATCGTCGACTTAGCGGCAACTCGCACAGAATGACAGCACGAGTGGTCCGAAGAATTCGGCGACGAAGACGAGGCAGACTTAATGTTCGGTGCGACCCACATTCGCACGTGGGCAACGTGGTGCGCAGAGCTTCGCAAGCGGTTTGAGCATGCTCCTGACTCAAACAAGGCACGCGAAACTCTACGCATGTGGAAGCAGCTGGGATCTGTGTCCGAGTACACCGCGTCATTCTTGACGTTGGTGGACAGATGTGGCTACATGCACGAGTTGGAGAAGGTCCACAGGTACATGGGCGGCTTGAAACCCGAAATACAGTACCGTATAAAATTGCAACGCCCTGCGAAGCGGTTACAAGATTACATCCAGCTCGCCGAAGCCGATGATTCGATAACGAAGCCGAGGATGAACTTCTACGACGGAGGTCGCCCTCGAGAACAGTACCAGCGCGCCATGATAAAAGGGGTGGACGCAGTGGACATTTATGCAATTGCTCCGCAAAGCACGGGGCTATGCTACCACTGTGGCCAGCCGGGTCACATCCGATGCAACTGCCAAGAATTCATAGCCCTCCAGAATTCTATGGGGAAGAAGCCGGAGGAGCGACCGGGAAATGGGTAGCGTCAGTAAGTACCGGACCCCTTACTGACGGGCAGGCTTCTTTGCCAGAGCCACATAGTCCCGACCGGGTCGTGATCCCGATTGCTGCAATCGACCGGACCCGGACAAATAAGGGGGACGAAACTGCTGATCACCCTGTGTTGGTGGAGGGTAAAGTCAACGGGGTGTTATTGAAGATTTTCGTTGATGGAGGTGCGAGTCACAGTCTCATACAACTGGACAAGGCTAAGAAATTGGGTATACCCTCACTCAAGTGTCTACCTAAAATCGACGCCCGGCTGGTGGACGGAACACCGCTGGCAATACGGGAACGAGTGGAGAACGTTGGTTTTACCTGTGGGGAGTATATAAAATTTCGGATGGGACTACTGGCGACTACTCTTGACGGGTGTGACGTGCTACTGGGACGTGATTCGTTGTGATTGTACAACCCGAAGATTGACTGGACGACGGGCGGTTGCAGCATCAAGCTCGATGGGATTTCCCGCGAGCTGCCCAAGTGGACGGGGCCTCGAATGCGAAGCACCCAAGTCCACGCGATCATTTTCAAACGCACGATAAAAGCTGAAGCTGCAGCGTACGCCGTTGATCTTCGCGAGGTGACATCGACAGTCGAGACCGAGGATATCGAGAAGCTGTGCAAGGCCGTCCCTCCAGACTTAGCGGAACTGATTCGGAAATACCCATAGATTTTCCTGGACGATCTGCGAGTTGTACTCCCGCCGAGCCGACCTGACGACCACCAAATCGAGCTGGAACCAGGTGCCCAACCGACGCTACAGCGCCAATTTCGGCTCAGCCAACCATAACTGGAAGAATTACAACAGCAGTTCCATTACCTTCTGCCAAAAAAGATTTATCCGGCACAGCATGTCACCATACGCCGCCCCGATACTATTCACGCCGAAAAAGGATGGCGGATTCATAATGTATATCGAATACCGCGCGCTCAACCTGATCACCATCAAATCGCGTCACGTGATCCCACGAGCCGACGAACTTCTCGACCAACTTCGCGGTGCCAAGTTTTTCTCGAAAATCGACTTGCGAGGAGGTTACCATCAGATCCGCGTCGCCGCCGAAGATTGTCACAAGACAGCATTTCGAACCCGCTACGGCAGCTACGGGTACTTGGTGATGCCTTTTGGCATCACGAGCGCGCCCTCGACCTTCCAAATGACCATGAATGGAATTTTCAGGGAACTCTTGGACAAATGCGTCATCATCTACCTCGACGATATCCTAATCTACAGCCGCAGCAGGGAGCAGCACTTCCAGGATCTTGATGCAGTCTTCACGCTGCTGCACAAGAATCGCCTCATCACCAAAGGGTCTAAGTGGGACTTTCTTAAGCAGGAGCTGGAGTTTCTGGGCCACATCGTCTCTACTGAAGGAGTGAAAATCGACCCCAAGAAAATCAAGACCATACAGGAATGGAAGCCGCCAAGCAACATCAAGGAGCTGTAGAGTTTGATGGGTTTCGTCAATTACGTCCACCGGTTTATACCCAATATGGCTGGGTTATCTGTAATCCTTCGCTAAAACCCGACACTATAGGAGAAAAAATACACGGTACACGACAAGGAAATGTTGGTGATCGTCCACGCGTTCACGATCTGGCGGTGCTACATGACCGGCGCTGACGTCACTGTGCGAACCGACCACAAATCCCTCCAGTACCTGTGAGCCCAACCGAATCTCAACCCGCGACAAATCCGATAGCTCCATTTCCTCGAGTCAAACTTCCACTATACCATCACCTATAAACGGGGCGCTAACAACATTGCCGATGCCCTGACCCGACCCACTGCCCATACAGCCGCCATACTAGTCGCCTAGACAAGCCCACTCCTCACCAGACTATTTACCCATGGCTACAAGATCGACCCCTTTTTCCGCTCCGCTATTCACCAACAGCATACCACTACTACCGGACACTATTTTAATAAGTGCGACACTTCTCGCATATGGGTTCCCGGCTACGATTTACTTCTTACCCGTCTAATCCAGGAATCCCACGACAACCTTACCTCCGAGCATTTCGGAGTCGACAAAACCATGAAGACGTTGTAGCATAATTATTACTGGCCGAACATGGCCAACGACGTGCGCAAGTACGTGTCCTCCTGCACCGCCTGCCAGATAATGAAATCATCCCATCAGCGAGCAGTCGGACTCTACAGCCATTGGATCCGCCCGAGAGACTCTGGCAACACGTCACGATGGACTACGTGACAGGACTGCCGGCCGGTCCCAGCGGAAACGACGCCATCCTCGTGATCGTTGACCGACTCACGAAAATGGCACACTTCATCGCCTGCCAACAGAAAATTACAGCTGAGCAAACTGCCCAATTGTTCATCGCCAACGTCATCAGACTGCACGGACTGCCCACCGTCATTATTTCAGACCGAGACCCGAAATTCACATCGAATTTCTAGCGCCACCTGTGGGGCCAATTCGGCACCAAACTACAGTTTTCTTTCGCCTACCATCCACAGACTAACGGGCAGACCGAACAAGTCAACCAAACTATGGAGCAACTCATTCGAACTACCTGCACTGACCCACAAACATGGGAGAAATCCATTCCGCTGTTGGAATTCGCGTTTAATAACGCGCCTTCTGCCACAACCCATCAATCCCCATTTTTCCTAAATCACGGATAGGACCCCGTGGTAACCTCTACACCAAACATCGAGACATCCGTGCCCTGGTCCTAGCGATTTGCTGAAGACATCCTCGTAGCTCGAGAAAAAGCAGCTGAGGCAATCCGAAAAGCCAACCTGGTCGCAAGCCGACCGTCATCGACGTGACGTCACTTACAAAGTGGGAGATCTCGTACTACTCGACACTCGCTATTTGCGTCTGCCGATCCCTAGCAAACTCCGACCCCGATTCTGTGGCCCCTTTCAAGTGACCAATATGGTGACCCCTGACACCGCTCACCTTTGACTTCCGGCGGATTGGCGTCACCACCCGGCTTTCCACGTCAGCCGACTACGACCCTACGTCCCCAGTTCGTTGGATTTGGCACGTCAACGCATCGTACCGCAGCTGACACCCCTGCAAGAACCGAGGACCGTGCCCTTGAAGATTCTCGGCCATGACGTCACAACGCAGCTGATTCGTCGAATGGTGGATTTTCTCATCAGATGGCGCGATCGAACGTTTGAGGATGACAGCTGGGTGCCTCTCTCTGATATAGAATCACACCCGATTCTAACAGCATATTATCAGCGTCGGAATGTTTTCGATGCCCGCGGCTTTGTTTAGGAGGGGGGGGGGGTAGTGTAAGGAATTTCCATTCCTTAGTGAGTCGTATGCTACCGCGTACACCC